GGGGGGGGGGGGGTCTCTGGGAGGGGCTCAAGGACAGGCCCCTCGTTTATCCCCCCATCCGCAGAACCCCGACTATCACGGGTTCTCAGCCGACCCCGACGTTGACGTGCTGAACATGCACGCGGTGTTCTTTACCGGGGTTTCTCTCGCCATCGTTCTCGGCTCCGTGTTCCTGCACTACCTGCCCGACTACGGGTCTGTCAGGGGGCCCTGGGAAACCCCCCTGGGCTGAAGGGGGTAGAGGGGTGGCCCCAGGCGGGGGGGGGGGGAGCCCTATAGGGAGGGGGGGGGGGCTTCCATATCCACTATTGGGGTCTACAGGAGCCCGTGGTGGGGTGTATGGGGCTCCTGGGGGGTCTTAGAGTGTCTATTGGGGTCTGTGGGTGTAGGGGGCTCTTAGTGGGTCTTGGGCTGTCTATTGGGGTCTGTAGGGCCCAGAGGCATTCAATAGGAGCCTATGGGGGGATTTGGGGATCCCTGAAAGCCTCTTTGGGCCCACGGCGGTCCTTTGTGAATCCCTTGGAGTTTTCAGGTCTGTTGGGCCCCTGGCAGCCCTTGGGGGGTCTATAGGAGCCCATGGGGAACCCTGAGCCGTATGGGAAGCTATATGATACCCTGGGGACCTACGGGGTGTCATGGGAGGGTTTGGGGGGCTACAGAGCCCTGTGGGAGGGTATGGGGGGCTGTAAGGATCTATAGGGACACCTGGGCTCTGTGGGAGAGAGCTAGACACGGCGGGGGGGTGGATTTGGGATCCCCAGACACGTGGATCTCTGGGGTGTGGGGGTCCCTGCCAGGGGCTGCCCCCCATGGCTGTCCCCTCCCCCCAGGCTGATGGAGTGGGCCCGGCGCGAGGCCGAGATCCAGGTGCGGGAGCGGGAGCGGCTGGGGCTGCCCCTGCTCACCTCCAACTACTACGACCCCGCGCGGCTCTCCCTGCCCCCCCCGGAGTGACGTGGGCCACCCCGAGTCTCCGCGGTCCCCCCTGGGGGGCCGGGGCGTTCCCACTGTCGGTTTGTGAATAAAGCGCTGAGTTTCGTCATGTCTCGGTCTTTTATTTTGGGGGAGGGAAAAGGGGAGGGGGGCGCAAAGATGGGAGTGTGTCTGCTGGCTGCTCTCACGGTGCCGTTACGTCATCAACGTGCGACATCACGTGTTCCTGCTATGGCTCCTCCCGGGCCCCCGACCTCTCCCATGTGCCCCTGTGGCCCCTCCCACGGGCCCCTAGAGCCGTTCACCCTACAGCCCCCACAGAGCTCCCCGTAACTCCCCAATGAGGCCCTACGGATCTCCGAGGTTCCCCCAGGGTCCTGGAACCCCTCAGGTCCCCCATAGGACGCTATGTGACCCCCCCCTACAGCCCCTCCACAGCCCCATGTGGCTCTGCAGACCCTCTCAGACCCCTGGACCGCTCTGGATGTTCCTGCATTATCTCAGGGACGCCCCCTTACCCCGCCATAGTCCCCTGTAATTTGCTCTATTCTCTATAAACTTTTGCAGTTTTTTTAATCTATAGTTCGCCATATACGCTCCGTAGGCCCCTATAGGCCCTGGTAAGCTTCCATTACACACCACAACCCCCCTTTAGGTTCCTAAGTCGCCCCTGTAGATCCCCCATGGGTCCCCCCACCCCCTGTGCCTCCCATAGCCCCCCGTCCCGGCCGCGCTGCTCCCCGTGTCCCTCCTGGGCCGCCGTCGGGGCTGCGCGCGCCGCGCTGTGTCACGAGGCCACGCCCCCTAAATCCGTATGCGGGAAGGGCGGGGCCTCCGCATCCGGGCCCTACGGCGGGAAGGGGCGTGGCCAGCGAGGGCGCGCCCGCCCAATCCACGGGCCGGGCGAGGGCGAGGGGCGAGGGGGGCGGGCGGCGGCGGGAGGCGACGGCCAATGGGCGCGCGGCACCAGGCGGCGGCAGCCAACGGGGCGGTGCGCGGGGCGTGGCCGGGAGCGCGCAGGGAGGGGGCGGTGGGTGGCAGCGGCCGCGGCCGCCATCTTGTCGCGGAGGAGCCGAGCGGAGCGGGCGGGACCCGGCGGCGGGGCCTGGACAGCGACATTGGTGCGGCCCCCGCGGGGCACAGGGGGGGCTCCGGGGGGCGGCCGAGGACGGAGGAGGCGCGCGGGGGCCTTCTCGGGGCGCGCGGGACCGACACCGGGCGGGGGGACCCCGGGCCGGGCCTGAGAGGAGGCGCTGAGGGGGGTACGGGGGGGTCTGCGAGGTGAAACCGCCCCCCCGCAGGGATCCCTGGGACAGGGAACCCGACCCGGGACTGGGACCCCTCTCTCGGGGACCCCCGGGGCTGGGAAAGGCCCCCCGGCGGTGGGGAACTCCCGCAATGGAACCCCCGGAACTGGGACCCTGCGGTCAATGGGGAACGCCCCGGTTAATGGGGAACCCCTGCAATGGAACCTCCCCCAGTGATGGGACCCCAGGACCGGGACCCGCCCCGGGACCCTCGTTTCTTGGAGCCCCCGGTATCTGGGTCCGGGGGGTGCTGGCGGTGTGACCTAGTGTCCCCCCTTGTCCCTCAATGCCACTGTTCCTGTTCCCCAATGTCCTCCTCCATCCCTCAGTGTCACCCAGAGTCCCCCTTGCACCCGCGCATCCCTTCTTGTCACGCAGTGTCACCGTATCCATCCCTGGTGTCACTTGGTGTCACCTGCCGTCCCACCTGGTGTCCCCGCCCATGACTCCTTGTCACCCTGTCCGTCCTTAGTGTCACTTAACGTCACCTTTGATCCCGTGGTATCACCTGGTGCCACCTCCCGTGACCCAGCGTCACCTGGTGTCACCCAGTGTCACCCTGTCCATCTCTAGTGTCACTTGGTGTCACCCTGTCCATCCTGTGGTGTCAACTGATGTTACTCTGCATCGCCCTCCCCATCCCTGATGCCACTTCCAGTGTCACCTGGTGCCACCCCACGTCTCCCAGCATCACTCCTTGTCCCTGCTGTCATCCCGTGTGCCCCCTGTCCCACTCATTGCCCCTCCATGTGTCATCCACCCCTGACAGTGTCACCCAACATCCCCAAAAAAGTCACTTCTGGCCCCCAGAGTGTCCCTCCAAGTGTTCCCCTGTCCCTGGCTGCCTCCTGTCCCCAGATGTCCAGTTCCCTGCTATCCCTCCTCCTGTCCTCATGTGATTCCTGTCCCCTTGCTTTCCCTGTGACCCTAGCTGACCCCTGGTTGTCCCTTGTCCCCAGATGTCCAGCTCCCTGATGTCCCTCTGCCCAGCTAACCCTGTTTGTGTCCTGTCCCCTGATGTCCACCTCCACAGTGTCCCTGTAACCCCGTCCCTGTCTCCCTTTGTCACTCCGATCCCTGTTTGTCCCCATCCCCATTTGTCCAGCTCCCCAGTGTCCCTGTGACCCCAGCTGACCCTGTTTGTC